GTAACTTGACCAAGTGTGTCCACAAATCATTCAAGAGTCTCAAAGCACTCATTTTTATAGCACATTTCATTGTATTATGTTTTTGGCTGGCACGTAATGTGTAGCTTCAAAGCTGAAAACTAAGGCAGTGTGAGGGAGTCCTGGTGGCACAGTGATTACAAGTTGGGCTTTCATTGCAAAGTCTGCAGTTCAAAGCCATCATCTGCTCCGTGGGAGAAAAATGAGGCTTTGTGCTTCCGTTAAAAAAACAACAAAAAAACTTCAGAAATCCACAAGGCCAATTCTACCCTCTCCTACAGGGTCACTATGAATTGGAACCGACTCGATGGCAGTGAATTGAGTTAGAAGGTAGAGTGTGTCAGTCATATTTGAGAAGGGAGAAATAGTGACTTCTCCAGATGTCTGTATTGAGTCAACTAATTGGTCTTGAGTCATTCTGACTCATGTGGCCCCATGTGTTCAGGGTAGAACTGTGCTCCATAGAGTCGTCAATGTCTGATCACCAGGCTTCCCCACGCCCCCGGGAAGCCACGCTGGATAAATGTGAACCACCAACCTTTTGGTTAGTAGTCAAGCACTTAACCATTTGTATGACCCAGGAGCTCCATCTTGGATCCATGCACAACAGTTTATACTACAGGACTTTAAGGAGCCCTAGTGGCACTGCCAGGTAAGCACTGAACTGGTAACCCAAAGATCAATGGTTCAAATCCGTGAGCCACACCCTGGGAGCAAAATGAGGCTGTTTGTTCCTCTGGATAAGTGAACATCCCATGTGTTTGAGTATATTACCTTGACAGCCTCAGAAACCCTGTCTAAGGTTCACTGTGAGTTGGAATTGACCGGATGGCAATGGGAATGGCTATTATTTGATTCCTTAATGTTCATTGGTTTTGACATCACTACGATGACCTTGATTTCCCAGGGCCATTCTCTGTTTTCATTGACCAGTTCACACCGAGCGCACTGCCATTGAGTCGATGATGGCAACTCGTGGCATCCTCCCCCCCCACCCCCACCCCCAGGGTTTCCTCCAGCTGTGGGTTTGAATCACCCGCTTTGTGGTTATCAGCCCGACACCTGACTCACTGCACCACCAGGGATCCTTTGATTACTTGACCCACATTAGGGCTTCATTTAGCACAGTTGTTTATTGGATAACTGAGAAGGCATGTATTTTTAAAACATTTTATTGGCACTTAATCCACACATCACATAATTCAATAGTTCAGTCACATCAAAAAAGAGTTACACAATCATTACCACAATCAGTTTAGGACACACCCCTCCCCCGCATTGTCAAATCATTGTTTCAAATGACTTGTGTAATCACCTTCAGTTCTAGAGAGTGCCCCCTCCCCACTCCCACATACACTGTTTGCTCCCCAAATCCCCTCACCCTCCTTCTCGCCCACTCCCACCCCGACCTCCCCATACAGCCTTACGTCAGTTCTTATCTGCATGCCTCCTCCCTTCCGTGCCTCGCAAACTGGAAACCCACAATTGTACTGGGCGTGCTAGACGGCGTTGTTTATGGTGTGATGGGTTGTGGTGCTTTTGTTGATGTTTCTGGGTTTTTTGGTAGCTCAGTAACACCTTAAATAGAAAATGCTTAAAAATTCACATTTATTTCCATGAAGTAGAACTCAATAAGAATATAGTAATTATAATTAGCAAACTCCCTAATCCTGACTAATGAGGACATTTGAATGTGAGAGCCTAGGAAACTACATTTATTTATTCATCCAGCCATCCATCCAGCTGTCCTATAAATTGTGTGGTTTTCTGGGAGACTCCATGGGGGAGGGATGCAGGGCTGCTCTGACCCAGGAAAGCATCAGCCCCGTATCAAGGATGACAGGAGGGCTCTGTAGTCCCCTAAAACCTGGAATGCCTGAGATACCAACTCTGCTTTCAACTGTGTGCTTTTAGCCTAAGGTTCCGATTTGTTAAAATTAAAAATCCTTGAGGAGAATAAAATTTTCATCTGCTAACCATGACTGTATCTCATTATTAATGAAGGCTTTGCAAGCAGCCTTCAGTGGAAACAGAAGACATTAAGGTGTCTGCCTCTCATGGAAGGAGGAAATGAAGTAGAGTGTGAAGAATCGGCGGTGAAGAAGGACATCGAGGGTTGAACATGAATTTCAGCTGTGAGGATGCTATCTAGGGTGATTCATGGCAGCTTCAGGCATTTCCCCAGCACCAAGTTTATAAAAATAAGTAGCAAAGCATTCAATTTAGCACTTAGCAGAGGTTAAAGATAGGAGGCCATATTCTCACTGGTCAGGGGGATGTGGCTTCGTCCAAGGTTCTGTGTGTAGCTGGCAGAGCAGCAAGACGTACAGCACCTCCACACTTGTTAGAAATGCAAATCCGACTGAGGGCTGGTGGGGGGGCGGGGGGCGGGGAGGAAAAAAAAGAAAGAAAGAAATGCAAATCCTTGGTTCCCAACAGACCCAGGAAAGGACAAACTTTGATCCTGGGGTGTAGACATCTGTGGTTTAGTCATCAATCCAGCTGGTTTGGATACACACTAAAGATCAAGAATCACTGCACTGCCCATCTTTGTGTGTGTGTGTGTGTGTGTGTGTGTGTGTGTGTATGGGTGTGTGTTATACATATGAAGGGGTAAGCCCACCCCCCCCAAAAAAAAACAAACAGAAAGAAGCTCTGCTGGGTAGAGCTTTTGTAATACACATTTTTGCCCACTATGGGAGCATCCAACTTGCTCTGACTTAGTGCACCCAGTGGCATTGCCTGGGAAGGGTCTCTCCGATCACAGTGAATTTTTTTGTGAAAAGAACAGTGTGTGGCTGTGAAATTTTGTTTCGTGCTTGGGAAAAATGCCACAGAAACTGTTGTGTTGTTCAACAAAGCTTACAAATACAGCACTATGGGAAAAACTCAAGTGTACAAATGGTTTTCTCATTTCAAAAAAGGTGAAATGTCGATTGATGACAAACCTTATTCTGGATGTCCATCAACTTCCTGAAAGGATGAAAATGTCAACTTGTAGTGCATTTGGAGTTTGTACCACTAGGTCAGACTGTTAATCAAGCTTTCTATATAGAGGTTCTGAAAAGATACAGTGTGTGACCAAAAAGGCCTGATTTGTGGCAGATGGGGGAACTGGTTTTGCCACCATGAAAATGCACCTGCTCATGCAGCCATCTCAGTGAGCCAGTTTTGGGTTAAAAAAACAGCATGCCTCTCTTGCCCCACACACCTTACTCATCTGACCTCATTCTGTGTGACTTCTTTTTGTTTCCTCAAATGAAGAGGGACATGAAAGGACAGTGATTTGATGAAGTAGAAGAGGTGAAGAAAAAAATGAGGGAGGTGCTGTCAGCCATCCAAACAGATGAGTTGAAAATTGTTTCTAAGAATGGATTCACAGATTTGACAAGTATATTAAGTGTAATGGAGAGTATTTTGAAGGTGATAAGGCTGTTTTGTAAAAATATTTTAAAACATAGCTTTGAAAGGAATATATATATATATATATGTATATGTGTGTGTGTATATATACATATATATACTGGGTTTTGAGAGTAGCTTAATATAAAGCTGATTTGGTATCATCCCAGCTCCAAATTTTAATGATGCTTTCGCCTGGTGCAAAGCACTAACCCTACCCATTAAAATGAGAGTAATGAAGACGTCTCTGGGTAGCATAAACACTTCAGCACTCAACTACTAGCCCAAACGTTGGCAGTTCAAACCCATCCTCGACCACCTTGGAAGAAAGGCCTGGTGATCTACTTTGAAGAGGCAGTGCCTTAAAAATCCCATGGAACAGTTCCACCCTGCAATCAACTGGAGGGCAACTGACAACAACAACCCGACCTCACAGGGACACTGAAAAACAATACATGAAAATCACCTGGCAGTAAACTGAGCATGTGGCAGACAACCCAGAAGCACCAGTTGCCCCTCCCCTCTGGCCCACCTAACCCGACTTGGCGTGCCTTGACATTACCCATCCTCTGGCCCTGGCAAAGGACCTCCCTCCCAGACAGAGGATCAGCCCTTCCTTATGGCATTGCAAGATCTTCAAAGAGTACCCCTTTCAGAAGTTGTTGTTGTTCTTTCATTAAGGTGAAATTCACCAAACATATAATAAACCATTTTAAAGTTTTCAAATGTCTGGCAGTGTGTACGTTCCAATGTGTGACCACCACTTCACTCTAGTTTCAAAACTGTTGTGCTCCCAGGAGAACACCTGGTACCCATGAAGTTGTCACTCCCCACCTCCACACCTGTGCTCTGGGAGCCACCAAGGGAGATCGTTCTGTCTCTATGGATTTGCCTACTGGGGACATCCTATCCAAAAGGAGCCATGCAGTATATGGCCTTTCAATGATGTCTGGCTTCTTTCATTTTGTGTACTGTTTCCCAGGGTCATCCAAGTTGTAGCGTGTGTCCGTACTTCAGTCCTTGGTCATCGCTCAGAAAGAGCCCTTGTGTGCACATTCTTTAAGTTGTGTGTTTGTCCGTCCATCCTTGGTTGGGCATTTAGGTTCGTTTCACCTGTGGGTTCTAAATAATGCAGTTGTGAAAACAGTTTCTCTGTAGACATGAGTTTTAATTCTGCTTTGGTACAGACCGAGGAGTATTGTTGGGTCACATGGTCATCGCATGTTTTTGTCTTGGGGGAAGATTGATTGTTCGTCATGGTCTTACTCGGAATAATTGGCGTAGCCCATGGTCTCAATCAAGGAGTGTGCTCATTCCTCTTGCAACCATTTCCCGTCTAGGAGGGCCACTGGAAAGTGAAAGATTGTGAAGAAATGCTCCTTTCCATCTGTAAAAAACCGGGCCGCGTCCTTTCTGACGCCGAATCCGGCTGTCAGAAGGTAAGTGCTTTCAGCCTTGCAGTGTATTACCTTCAGGAATTTTTCATAACTAGAATCACTTATCCACCATCGACTTCAAGTGCTCCTTGCTCCTTTTCTCTTCCCTCATCTCCCACCCCTTCTTCTCTCCTCCCTCTCTCTCCTCTCCCTCCCTCCTTCCTTTCATCTCTCCTGCCTGCCTCGTTTTGTTGTTTCTGTTTTGTTGTTTCTGCGTGACTGAGGGCTATTTGTCACAAACCAGCCATCAGCAACTAGAGGCATTTGGACGATTTACAGCGCCGGGGAAGTTACTTTTATGGATCATTTTCTTACAAGCCATTTCGACCTAAAACTACTTTTCTTTTGAAATTAAAAAGAATGTAAATTATCTGGTTATAGCATCTGTACAAACAATGACAGTCACATGATGTTGTGTCTCGCACCTGGTTTTCATCATTTTGAAGTGGGATGTCAGAGTGAAAAATCATGCGTTCCTTTGAGTCAGAAGGTGAACTTCTACACCAAGTGCATATTCAAATAAGAGTCTACGTCACAATGGAGAGGAGTTCATGTTTTGCAATATAGTTATTATCTGGGAAAGGGATAATAAAATATTTCTTTAAATTTTTAAGAACTTCACCTAATTAAAACATGATTTCATATGTTGCATTTAAACTTCAAAGGTAAAACATCTATTTGAAATTTCCAAAAATATGTCCAATATTCTGCAGTGAAACAAAAATTCTGGACCTGCCCAATGTCCTCAGCAACACACTTTTCCTCTCTCTCTCTCTCTCTCTCTCTCTCTCTCTCACACACACACATTTGGTAGTAAATATTAGGAATTTTTTTTAATACTCTGTGGATCTGAAAATTTTCCCAAACTTGGTTTTTATGCAACTCTGTGTTCAATATTTTCCCTTGTAATTCGATTATTTCTGCTCCAAAATCTACATTGTATTCATTTATCTGTAACTTGACAATACACATTCCATGCCTGACAAGCCATCAGATATCTAATGATTACAATTTGGGGGTTGTTATAGAGGGTGCCTTATCTAATCTCTGTCTGGTCGCAGATTTCAATCGATTGTGTATGTGTATTATGGTAGCTCTCAAAGAAATATAACGTGTTAGTTTTGTAAAAGGAGCAGTTAACTTTTTACACAGCGAAGCAGAACTGGTGGTCTTTCCCATCTGTGGCGCTCTGGTGGTGTGGTGGTTACGCATTGGGCTGCTAGCCTCAAGGCCAGCAGTTTGAAACCACTAGCCACTCTGAAGGGAAAAGATTGGGCTTTCCACTGCTGTACAGAGTGACGGTCTGGGAAAGCCGCCGAGGCAGTTCTCCCCTGCCCCGTCAGGTCGCTGTGAGCTGCCGTTGCCTTGCTGGCAGTGAGGTTGGTTTTTAGTTTTCGGTCAGAACAGCATTTAGAGATTCTAAGGTCAGACTTGACTTCTAGTGGTAAATGTCCAGCAATTTCAGCAGATGTCCAACTGTAAAGATAGTTTTAATTTGTTCTGACCTTTTAGCCATTTGCTTCAGTGTGATTTTCTAAACAGTGTGCACATGCAAAATTAGTGTCGTATCATAATCATTTCAGAGGGAAAAACAAAACAAAACATGTCCCCCCCACCCCTGAGACGTAGTTTTTGGACTGGGCAAGATGGGCATTTGTTCAGAATTCTCCTTATCATATTTCTCATCATTTCCTTTATTTTATATTTATTTTGTTTGAGATGAACTTGTTTGTCATTAAAGACTCTAAGTCCTTCTCAGTTTTATTTTTCCTCCTGTGTTTTGTTTTGTTTTGCCATTCAAACCACTATTGAGGTTTGAGGCATAAGGGATCTGGAGGGATTTTGTTTTGTTTTAAAAGAAACACACTGTGCATGTTTACACAGCCCAGCTCAAGAAATGAAATCAACGATATCCTGTTAAATCCTCCATATATGTGGTTCTCTCCCCCACCCCCACCCCAGGACACAAAATATATTAACCAATATTCTCAATGATTCTTCCCACTTTCATTAAGTGGACAGGCTTTGTGATAAAGAGTCATAGCTTTTCTGGTTATTGTGAGAGAGCGATTTTTTAGTCTTATGTAAGTCTTTGCTAGTTTGATTGTTATTGCTAAGCAGTCTATGACCTAAGACCTCTAATGTAAAGGAGATATTTCTTAGGAAGGTCAATTTGTCACCCTTCCCCAGCCACGGACTAAAGCAGTGTCAACTCCCACGGGTCCCCAGAGGGGCTGTCTGAGCTGTTGATTCCTTCTCACTGATAAGGGTGCAGGTAGAAATGACGAGGAGTGACATCAAACCAGGAGAATCTGTCTGAATAAGGAGCACCTATGACTCGGACCTCATTTCATGATGTGTGGTACAGTGGGTCAGCAGTTCAAAACACTCTGCTGCTCCACAGGAGCAAGATGAGGCTTTCTCCTGTTGTAAAAAGTTGGACTCTCAAAAATCCACAGGGGTGGTTCTACCCTGTCCTAGAGGGTCACTAGGAGTTGGTATCCACTCAGTGGCAGGGAATGTGGCTTTTGAGTTTTTTAACTGAAGCAGCTGATTCCCAAAATAAGGGTTTTCAGTATTTTTTCATTGATTATATGACTTCAACCTTTTCCAAGGAATATATAACTATACTGGAGCTATAGTTATATATAACACTATAAATTTTTATACCTCCTCAAAAGCTGGCAACTATTGACATGTCATCAAGGGTACACACAACCATCAAGGAGGAACCCTGGTGGCATAGTGGATTACAAATTGAAGTGCTAACAGCAAGGTTGGCAGTTCCAATCCACCCGCTACTCCTAGCAAGAAAATGGAGGTTTTCTGCTCCCATAAAGATTTACAGCCTCAGAAACCCAAACAAGAAGTTCTCCTCTGTCCTGTGTGGCCCCTCTGAGTCAGAACGGATGCCCTGGCAGTGACGGTCTAATAGGACAGAGTTGAGCTCTTTCCTGGGCTTTCTTTATGGGAGCAGCCTTCCCTTGCTGATCTGGTGTTTGGCAACCCCAACACCACCCCTTGGCCTTGCCACAAAAGGCATGGTATTTGAAAACTGGTGAATAAGTAAGACTAGCGAGATAAAAGTGAGATGATTTTGAGATATGGGAGGGAAATTCCCAGCTAAGATATCTCATTTGCCATATGGGTGACAAATGAGTGCATTTGGCATCTGAATGCTTTTACGGAGTAGAGTCACCTTTCCTAGCTTTCTGGCTGACCGTGGAGCTCCAGAGTCTGAATTTTTGACTGAGTGCCAGTCTGCCTGCTTCCCCTGTGAAAGACCAGCCAGTTAATTTACAAATCATCTTTATAACTAAGTTTATCTTTTGGCTGTTCTTTGTTTGGAAGCATTATAATCCAGCCAACATCATCCAGGATTGCACCAGAAGAGGACTTCTGGCCCAGTGGAGCCACTACTCTATGGTGTTCTCCAAGTCCCTTATGTCAACAAAAGGTTCTCTGCTAGTACCATGGACTAGGTGGGAGACTGCTAACCTCAAGGTCGGTGGTTCAAACCCACCAGGTGCTCCTCAGGATGAAGAGGAGGCTGTCTGCGCCCGTAAAAAATTACCGTCTTGGAAATCCTATATGAGGTCTCTGTGAATTGGCATCTACTTGAGGACAGAGGTTTTTGGGTAATCTCAACCAATCCATGAGATAACATAGGTAATCAATAGGAAAGAATAGTGAGAAACATACAGTATAATCTACTTCCCTATGTCCTTGTTGCCTCAAATGCCTAGTTCAAAAACAGTCTATTGCTATCTGTCAACCCAATTCCAACTCATAGCAACCTATAGGAGAAAGAAGAACTGACCCCATGGAGTTTATGGAAGCCAATTACCACATCTTTCTCCTTCCTGAGCCCCTGGCTCTATCCTAAGATTTCTGCCTCTATTGTCTCTTTCTGATTCTCAATACAACCTCACCGGAGCTACTAGTACTCCACTTTAGAGATGAGAAAACAAAGAGGCAGAGAAGTTGAGTAAGGGCATGCAGGTGGGAGAGCTGGGGGACCCAGGATCCAAACCCAGACACACAGACAGCAGAGCCAACACTTGAGTTTCTGTCATCTGTGGGGACCATTTATGTGAAATTCCCTAAGTCTGAAGAGTGTGTGTGTGTGTGTGTGTGTGTGTTTTATTTGCATCTAATAGGTTGTAAGATAACTAGTTAAATGAATGAAAAGGGACTAGCTAGGATATAAGCAGATAAAATAAAGATTAAAAAGGAGCCCTGGTGACATAGTGGGTTACGTGTTGGTTAGCTAACTACAAGGTCACTAGTTCAAATGCACCAATTGCTCCACGGAAGAAAGATGAGGCTTTCTGCTCCTATAGCCTCAGAAACCCACAGCCGGTGACAGGAGTCAGAATCGACTCTGCCGCCGTGAGGAGCGTGGTCCAAAGCTATCAAGACGACATTCAAAGAGTTTGAGTGTGGTGGAGAAGAAGGTTATGCAAGTGGTGAATGGGCGTGCATACACAAAGAGGTGTTTCCTACTTCAAATTCTTAATTCGCTTTTCCCTTTTGTAAGGGGTGGGAGCGCCACGGTGGATTCTGTTACAAAGTTGACACAGTCCTCCGAAGTTTTGACCACGCGTCCAGTGGGTATTACTGCCCTCCTGCCCTCCTGACCATTGCCAACAGGTAAGATCGCCTCCTGACCCACCGTGACTGTGCTCCGACAGGGGGCTCTGCGATTGATAAAAGCCAGCAACAGCCAGTAACTCGCCAGAATCAAAAGCTTGTCTTACATGAGAGTGTTAAATTATTTATTGAGTTAAACCCAAATCCTACAAGGGCCTTCCTAAATTGATCTTTTTGTGGAACGAATAATGGAATTTCAGATTAGATTTACATTCCACAGAGATGTGGTCATTTTCTAACACTGCTATGCATTCTCTTGTATTTAGATTTTTCTCTTATACCACTTTGTCAAGAAAAATAAATGCTTCAATGAATAATTAACTAGGTGGTTTTTTAACGTGATGTGTACAAGGTTTTTATTTGTTGGGGTTTCTGGTCATTTATTTTCTAAGGGATGTGTAACTAAGATGCGGAGGGGTCCAGGTGCTTCGTCATTGCTTCTTGAGTCTATTTTTATTTCGATTTAGACCTCTCTGTGCACAGGTGTCTTCCTGGTACCCTTTTACACACCTTCTCCAACTCAGTGTGCCAGAGATGGGTAATCAAACTCACGTCATTGAGTCAGTCCTGGCTCATAGCAAACCCCCCTGTGGGTTTCTGAGACTACCTGTTCCAGAAAGTCTGGTCTCTCGCCGAGGAGCAGCTGGTGGTTTCGAACTGCTGACCATGCAGATCACAGCCCATCATGTAACCACTACACAACCAGGGCTCCTAGCGAGGTCTAATGGGGTGGGAAAACCAGCCCCAGATGTGACTGCAGTGTCATTGTTATGCCAGGCAGACTGAGAGAGCTGGGAGGGACCCCCCACACAGAAAGCAGAAGCAGGACAGGACTTTTCCGTGCCCTCATGGGAAACGGTAGCTGCAAAGCAAGCCACTTGCCTCGTTGCCTTGGCCAACTTGCCGTGGTTTTATCTAAGACCCTTCACGGATGAATGTAACCTGTAGGGTAAGGAAGTTCTGTGTGCTTTCTCTGGCCTTCAGAGGAGACCAGACAGGCAGTCACCTTTCAGAGTCACCCATATTCCCTTCTGGCTTGTACACTCTGGCCTTCCTTCCCTTTGATTTTCCAGACAGGGCCCAGGAATGCCACATGTGTATGTATGTACACGCATACACGTGCTTCTGTGTGCCCTGGCACATACAGAGGAATGGAGGGATAGATCAACAGCATTTGATTGAAAAAAATGCCTGGGGAGCGTTTTAGGTCTGGGAGACCCTTCCTCCAGGACATACCACTACCTTTGCAGTATTTCAAAGACAATCTGGTGGGACACTAGTAGGTTAAGCACTGGGTTGCTAACTATTAAGCCAGTGGTTCAAACCCACCAACTGATCCATGGGAGAAAGATAAGGCTTTCTGCTCCCATAAAGATTTTTACACTCAGACACCCCAAGGAGCAGTTTTCCCTAGTCCTGTAAGGTTGCTAACAGTCAGAATTGATCAGAATGACAAGATGAGTTTTTGCTTCTTTCAGCCTTGTTTTGAGTTCTGCCTGATTCATACTGGGGACAAGTATCAGACTAAAGTAAGCCTTTCTTTCTTCCACCTTGTAACTCACCCAAAAGGCTTCCAAGAGCACTCAGTTGTGACTATATTGAAGAGCCTGAGCAATGAAACTGTGTTTCATTGTTCACTGTAATTTAATTATGTTTTTCCCTAAAGAACATAAGCCTAATTGTTTCACCTGTTTTTCATGTCCTATTATTTCGGGGGAGCAGGAGGGGGCGGTTAATATTAATTGAATGCCATTCCCATACCCAATACCCACTCTTCCTATGTTCTCTGATCACACAAAAAGTAAGAGTCCAGAGTTTATTGGCAAATTGGCAAATGCCTGCTTTTATGAGACGCACCATCCTAAATGTAGATATGATGTGCGAAAGAGAAAAAGAAGGTATGTTGGAATTGTTTATTGCCACTTATAATCGAACAGTGTGGAGAGCGAGCACAGACCCAGGAAACATGGGGAGACGGCTGACTGATGACACAATAAATGGATAGACCCAATGGAGCATTGTTGGCAGTCCATGGGGGCAAAGTGACCCACGGTGAGGCAGCAACCTGTTAGAGCTAACATGCTTCATGCATCTTCTAAGACCTTTCCGTGAAAGCATACAAATGATAGACAGTGTTTCATGTGGTTTCATGAAACCACATTCTCTTTTCCCCAAACTGTGTAGAAGAGCACATTGTGACTACTTTAAATTTCTTTTTTGATCAACTGTATTCAATAGCTAAGAGCCCCTGAATGGTGCCAACGGCTAGTGAGCTGCTTGCTAGTTGACTCCCCCGGGCAGCAACACACACATGTTCCTGAGAGCCGTGCGCCTCCTCGAGCCGTGCTGCTCCATGTGGTTTTCAGAGGCTGCTGCTTCAAGAGGACCTTGCCAGGCAGGCCTTTCTTCCACGATGCCTCTATAGATTCAGACTGCCAGCTAGCATTCAAATACGTGACCCATTTTTACCACCCAGGCATGCACACACGCTATCCTGCAAGCATGTCTACATCCACATCGGTGACTCCTCCACAGGGATTAGGAGTTGAGGGAAGAGGTAGGGTCCCCGGCTCCTGCTTCCTATTAATTCAGACTTCAGCAAGTGAGAAACCAGGGACACCCTACATGGCTCTTTGATAGGAAAGGTATAAGAGCAGACAGTCCAACGTTGTCCAGCAGCAGCTTTTGTCTTAGAAGGTTGGCAGTAGATAGAAAGTCTTCTCAGACCCACAAGGGCCCCCTAGCAATGTGGGTCATTGTTTTCTTCCGCAGCTGATTTCCTGTTTGAGTTAAAGTCCTGCTATCACTCACCGGTGCCCAAGCCTGTAGTTGCTAATTGGTTTTCCACTCTTCTGCACAAATGAATGGCAGGTTTGAGGGGCAAAACTAGGACCACCTGCTACAAATCACTTACTGTATTTCGCATGTCGAGTGTGTCCACAGAGATTGCCTATGTACACATATAGCACACAGAGGAAACCAAAACACAGAGAGGGTGCACACTTGGTGAAATGTTATGGTGCATGCCGGATTTGCGTAAAGGTGCAGTGATTCCTTTGTTATCAGGTGACCACTTCTTGGTCTAGAATTTTAACACTTTGTGGAATAGAAGGGCAGGAAAACCAGACCCATATTTCTGAATCACAGATGTCTACTTCCTTGTTCTCTAGTATAACATTTTTTTTTAGACCTGGTACCATTTTTTCCCAGACAAAACATGAATGCAAACTTTGAATTCCCAGGGTTCCATGGATAATTGTTCAAATGCATGTCTGCCTACATCTTGAATCAGTTGGTCATGGCATATTTGGGACAAATGGCCCAGATGGCGTTTAATTGTTTGAATTTTGCCACCCTCACCTCCAAAAGCAGAGAAATACTACAATATCTCATTTTCTCCTAGGCTTAAGTGCATTGTTTTCAAGCAATTTGACAGCCCCGCTGCCTCTGAAACTACTATCCCTCCACAGATTTTCGGTTAACTGATTTTATAAAATCACATTTTAGTCAATCCCTTTAAAATCACACACCATTTCCAATGGCACAAATTCCAGCAAGCCAAACGAATATAGCGTGAAAAGTGAAAGTGGCCATTTATCACCATTCTCTCCCACCACGTCCCCCAAACTCTTCACTCCTCACCAAAGGTAACCCCTGCTAGCAGTTTTGAACATGCCCTTCCAGGTTTATTCCTTGTGTCTGTGAAGAGGCTTCAAAAAGCTGGTGGATAAATAGCATAAAAAACAAAGGAGATTTTCACCAACTGTTTGAAGCCATGGTGCTTCTCAGTGTGCGAGGGGAGAGGGGAGAATCGGTCCTCTGTCACAATCTCAGGAACCAGTGGGAAGCAAAGGAAGCTTGCAACGGCCACCAGGCAGCATTTAGTCTCTCGTGCCTTCTTCCTGGAGCGTATTTACCTCCGGTGTTGCCGCCGTGGGAGCTGGTGGGAAAAAGAACACGGCTCCTCTCAACTGTGTGCTCCTTACATGACTGACAGCTCGGCTCCGTAAGGAGGGTGGAAATCCGGGGCTCTGCAGAGCTGAGCCTCGGGCGTCAGACCACGGAATGCGGAGCCTCACAGGCGGTTCAAACCCCGCCTGCCCTTTGATTGTGGCCCCTATTCCCTCTAAAGCACCGGTCTTCTTAACTGATCCCATTGCTTTTCTTTCCTTATGAAGTCTTCATGCTAATATGGAGGGGGTGGGGGGAGCAACATTGAATTGAAAAGTCTCACTGACTTTCTTTTTAGATTCTCTGGGCAATTTCTTCAGGCCTTACCCTGGTGTCTCTGCAGCTCGGCCCAGAGTCATCATGGTTGGGAATTTATTTCTTCCAAACCTTAAGATAACAACAAAAAGATTCCTCCAGATAGTTTCAAATTGACTTTACAACCTCAGTACTAGTTAAGAAATCATATGCACTCATTGAGTCAAAAGGAACCCGACATACACGTCTTCAAGCTCTTGCCTTTGATGTGTCCGTGTGGGGCAGGGGCATTGGCCCTGATCATTGAACACAGATTCATTTGGGGAACGTAGTCCAAGCATCCTTCCTCGGGTTCATTGCTAGGAGTTTAAACTTAGCTGCTGTCAGAAGGGACATTCATCCTCTTTTAAATAAGCCCAGAAGACCCGGTGAACAAACTGCTTTGGGAGGCATTGCTTTCTCACAAGGCAGGTGTGGTGAGTGAGCGAATGTCAGTGCTACGTTCCAGAGCCAACAAACACACACAAAACCCAAACTCACTGCCGCGGCCCAGAGCAACCGTCCAAGACAGAGTGGACATGCCCGTGGGGGCTCTCACCGGCTGCAAATCTTTACAGGCCCAGAAAGCTGCATGTGTTTCCCAAGGAGCAGGTGGTGGGTTCAAACTTCTGACCTTGAGGATTGTAGCCCAACTCGTAACCCACTGTGTGACCAGGGGTCCATCTACATTCCACTCAACATCACCACCACCCCAAAACAAAAACACCGGAACCCTGGTGATGTAGTGGTTACGAGTCGGGCTGCAATCTGCATGGTCAGTAGTTCGAAACCACCTGAGGAAACACACTGGGTTTCCATTCCTGTAAAACCCACAGGGCGCGGCGATGCGTACGGCTGCTCCACAGGACTGCTTGACCGTAGCATCTTCACCAAAAGAGAGCGGCAGGCCTGCCCTGTGTGACGTCGGTGAGCGTGTCTGAACTGTCAACCCAGAAACCTGTGGCTCTCTCACTACTCTGACCACAAACCTCACTGGCCTGTGGGCCTTCCTCCTCTGATGGTGCCCCTGGGAGGCCTCATTTAGGAGAAAGGTGTCAAATGCTATCTCTTCTGCCCATTAGACCCGGGACCAGAAAGTTGAGTGGCCTGCTGATGTGCTGACTGCCTCTGAACAACTAAGGATCAACTAATTTCTTTTTTAAAGCAATAGCCTCCCTTCCTTCTCCCCTCTGCCGCCCCCGCGAGCCTCACCCTCTGGTAGTGCCTGTGGCCTGATTCCCAAAACAGAGCACATGTTCTTCAGGAGAGAAATTGCTGACTCTTCCTTGAAAGAATTCAGCTCCATCTGTCAAATTCCCCTCCCGCGTGCGTTTCTGGGAATCACGCGATGGACAGTTAGCATTTATCGGTAGTGCGCAAGGTCATCAAGCATTTTTCTGTTGGATGCTTCAAAGAATTAACAAAAATGCTTACGGGGGTGCCATTCTGCGCACCTCATTATGTTTTAATGACATGTTTTATTAGCCAGCAACTTAATGCAACCATTTCCTGTTTCCCTTCTTAAGGTTTGAACAAGCTTTTATTACCAGTCTGATCGGCAGTGTGGTAAAAACGAAGGACGGTTATTTTTGGATCGCGCTTCAAGACCAAAATGATACGGGAGAATACACTTGGAAGGCCGCGGGGGAGAAGCCTGAGCCGGTGCGGTTCACATACTGGAACACCCATCAGCCGCGTGAGTAGAGCGGATTGCCCCATCGACTCTGTCAGTCCCGGCTGTCGCCTGGACTCTCTCCTTTGGTTCTTCCTGAAATGGTTTCTTAGTGTCCACATTGCTTAAAACCATCATCATCTGTTTGCAAGGAGTGGCATCTGTTTGGCCATTTTTTAAAAGCGTAACTGATACTAGCCAATAGGCGTGTTCAGAGTATGAATCCATCGCCCAAAGAGCCATGCATGCCTTCATCAGCAGGAAGTTCTGTTTCTCCTTCCTAAGCCTTGGCCCCATCCTCTCTCCTGCAGACGGGCCTGGGGGCTTGCTCGGGGAGAGTGCCTGTTGAGATGCTTTGCTGGCTCTCTCAGCAATGGCACTGGATCCAGACCAGCATAGGTGGCCTCCAAATCGACAGCAAGAGGACTGGGGGTCGGAGGGTCTCAGCACATTCTCTCCCACAAAGCTTTTGTCTGCTCCGTCCTCAGAACCTTGCGCGCTGTGAAAAAGATTGGGCTGAGACACGTTTTTTTTCCATTCTCCGATTTTCACTCTCATTGTGTCCTGGTACTTAAAGCCTCTCTTAGAGACAGCATGTAGCTGAATTGTAGAAACCCTATTCCTACCCTCTTTGCCTTTGGGCTGTAGACTTTGGTCAGCTTACCTGCTCCGTTATGCTGGCGGGTGAATTGGCCGGACTGCTGCCAGCTAGTGTGCCCTCTGTTTCTCCTCTCGGAGGGGTTTCACCTCTCCATCTTTGGGCTTGCTGCTTGCTGGTTTCTTCATTCGTTCTGCTTTTCCCTCATTACTCGACTGGAAGTTTTCTTTTCCAAGTCCCTCAGATGAATGGCCACACCAGCAATTTTTTTTTTTAAATCATTTTATTAGGGGCTCATACAACTCTTATCACAATCCATACACACATCAATTGTGTAAAGCGCATTTGTACATTCATTGCCCTCATCATTCTCAAAACATTTCCTCTCCACTTAAACCCCCAGCATCAGGTCCTCACTTTTCCCCTCCCTCCCCGTTCCCCCTCCCTCATGAGCCCTTGATCGTTTATAAATTAACATGCATTCTCCTCTTCAAATCCAGTATTCATCCACCTCCTTGGGCTCATCTTTAAAACTATCCCGACTTATACTTACTATTGTCATGGTGTTTTCAATGGCCTCATCTGCATGTGAGAGCTGCGTATCGAATACAGAAGACTGAAGAATAGTGAGCGCTTCTGAGTGGTGCTGCTGGCGAAGAAAACTGAAAGGACCGTGGACCACTCACAGGACAAACACGTCTGTCTTGGAAGAGGTACAGCCAGAGGTGCTCCTTAGAGACCAGGATGGTGAGACTTCATCTTACATGCGTTGGACAGGTTGCCAGGAGAAAGACCCGTGTCTGGAGAAGGACATCATGCTTGGTGTAAAGTCGAGGGGCAGTGAACGAGAGGACGCCCTCAGGGAGATGGACGGACACAGTGGCAGCAACGATGGACGCAAGCACAGGAACAATTGTGAGGATGGCACAGGGCTGAGCAGGACTTTGTTCTGTCGTGCACAGGGTGACCAGGGGGCAGGACCAACCCGATGACACCTGACAACAATAGCAACAGCGCTCTGTACTATTTCAACCTGTTTCGTTTCCACTAGACGTTGCCATCATTGCTTAGACAGTAAATGTTTGTTGAGATCGATTCACATACTTTGCAGTGAGTATTCCATCCCGTGGACACTAATGAACGGAGCCAACAAAACTCTGAACAGCTTTGAGGATCGGTAGGAGTTCCATGCAACCCGAGTGTAGGGTCTGTGGAGAGTGCTGTCTCCATAGCCACTCTTCAGTTCAGCTCACAACTCCAGTACACACCCCTCTGACGGGCAGCTGCCCCAGGGCACCCCCAGGAGCCCCACTGCCACCTGGCTTCCTCCTTCATCGTTTACAGATGGAGTCCTGGTCCCCCAGCAGCCGCTACTGAAGGGTGAAGCCTAGCGCTTGCAGCGGAAACCTGTTCTCTTTCCCACTAGGGGTCCTCCGGAAGCCCAAAACACTAACAGCCCTGGATTCTCACCTGGCTCCCACAGGGGACCACACCTGGCCCTGCCTCTCCGCAGCTTTAGGACAGTGCTCTGTCAGCAGGACAAGCTAAGGTCAAAAATGATTTTTAAACATTTTACCTCAGATTAATTTTTTTCCCCTAAGGATTCAGGTTTCTAAACTAAACTGTTGCTTATTCATTGCACTGTTTAAACTAACCCCTGTGCGATCCACCTCTGCAGCCAGAGACAGCTATGCAAACCCTCCCTGAAGGGGCTCACCGCCCCAGCCGACACATTGGCTTTCCTCATCTCCTGCACTCTCAGGACAGACCCCTGTTCTTGCTGTGCAAAGAGGAGCGAAGCATGCATGCCACCCTTTCAGGGAAATTCAGGCAGGGTGGCAAGAGACAGCTCTACCCTGGTGCCTTATGAATAAAAAACTGGATTCTGAAAAAAAAAATGCTCCCTGGTTCACGGTG